AGTGACGAAGTTTCCAGAAGCGTCAGTGGGTAGAGGTGATCCATCAGGCTTCGTCACTGGGTAAATGACATTTCCGCTTTCATCTGTTGGCATTTCTTTGCTGGCAGCTTCTTCTCGTGGCACAGTAACGTAATGTCCACTGCTATCAGTTGGCAGTGGTTTTCCACCCTTGCCCAAAGGAACTCCGCTGCGATCGGTTGGAATAGGCCTGCCGTCTTTTGCAAGAGGATGACCGGAGTCATCAGTCGGTAGAGGAGAGCCGTCAGGTCCAAAAACTGGATGGATCGGTCGTTTGTGCTCATCAGTTGGAAGCGGAATTCCGTCAGGTCCGAAAGCAGGATATATGTAGTTACCTGCATCGTCTGTCGGCAGAACTTCGCCATCAGGTCCCACGGGTCTCCCTTCCTCATTTCTTTCTACGACTACTCCATCTTCAGTAATGTAGTTTCCGGTAGAATCTGTTGGGAGTAGTGACCCATCTGGTTTCTTTATGGGATACATTATATTTCCACTCTCATCGGTGGGATATGAAATCGTTCCCATTTCTGTAGGATGAGGTGGTCCACCCTTCCTCGTCGTCAGAACATACTCTCCATACTTATTCTTGGGAAGAGGGTTTCCATTTTCATCCACTGGTATCCCTTCCTCATTAGTTGGAATAATTGCACCCGTTGAGTCTACAAAATGTCCACTATCATCGAGAGTCAGAGGCTCTCCATCGACTGTAAGTAGTGGGACACTTGGCATGTCTTCACCCTCTATAACAGGTTCAGTTTCAATGGATTCAATTACAAACTGTCCTTCTTCATTAATTTCATATGGCTCTCCGTGTTCGTCGAGTGGTCTCCCAATGACATCAGTTGGAATCACGCGACCATCTGCCCCAACAAAATTCCCATCCTCATCCATCTGGACCTCGGTACCATCACCCATTACGACACTGATTTTTGGCATGTTGTTTTCATCGACAGGGAGTGGTTTGCCGCTTTTGTCAATGAGGGGATATATCCACGCTCCATCCTTATTCCGCGGAAGAGCATTGCCGAATGGGTCTCGAGGTTCCCCGTCTTCAATGATGATAGGGCTCTTATTGTTGTCAACTAGCTCCCCATCAGCATTCACGCTGAGAGGCACGCCGTCGGGACCGACGACTAGTGGAAGTTCGCGTCCACTCGAGTCCGTAGGCCTTATCGTCGACCTAATTTCCTCAACTTCCAAGGTTTTGCCATCCACTCCCGTTGGCAGTGGCGACGCGCTTATACCAGTTGACGATATTTCTTCTGGCTGTACCTCTGTAGTGAACGCGGGCGGCGTCACCTAAAATTCATTTTTTAGACAAATCCTTTCCGATGTGTACGTTTCGGAGTAACTTACTCTAACAATTGTGTATGCCGTTGGAGCATCACTAGAAGGCTCACATGATTTTTGATCACTACCTAGCACGAAGCCACTATGACAGTAACATTTTGAAGTAACCGTTCCATCTTCCTGCTCCTCGAATGTACAGGCATGTGCGCAGTCGCATGCAACTCCTAAAATCTAGTTTAGACACATTACTGGATTACACTAATGTCGTTGTTTGGGTCTTCCAGTCTCGCAATTAACATCAAAACATTGTATGATTTGCCTCGATTTTGGGAAAGAAAGCAAATGAATCAGGATAGTGCTTCCTAGTAACACGAATCCCATGAATCGAGGGTCCCCATCAAAATCAATACTTGTAATGTATCAGCAGCGCTCCATTACAAGTTCTGAGATTAGTGGAAACCGTAAATTCATTTGCATCACTGCTAATTGTCACAGTAATGATGCGGTGCTCACGTGCAAGATTTTTTCCGTGTAAACAATAGATTTGGAAATCCTCGACTAGAATTGAACTGGGGCGCATTGAAATCGAGCACTTAAGAAGGAGCGATCATATGGGATTCATTTACTTCTTATGCATTCGGAATAATTGTGATTTAAAGGTGGATTTGCTATATTGGACGTTATATACTGACGGTTTCGCGCATTCTTCAACTGACCAGTCGGGCCGCTCGGCTGACGCCGGGCTTCCCTCCTTCTTAGGGGTTCGCCCGGCTACGCCGGGCGCTCCTTCATCCTGTGAGAAATTTGCTATGTGTAAATAACTCTTCGGACTCTCTTTTTTCTTTGGAAGCTCTACACCCTCAGTATCAGCTCCGAATTAAGAGCGTTTTTTTTTTCTATGAGCCATCTTCGCTGTGTCCGAATAGAACATCGCATAACATCACAAAGGCGCTTATTCAAAGAAAGAAAAGTATTCAGAGACTTCATCGCCGCTGAGTCTACTATGTTAGCTACCATCAATGTTCCCAGCCAACTCCATGTGCCTCCAAGTTTCAACGGTCTGGGTCCGATCTAACAATATTTATTCACGCCCAGCCCTTTGGGGCGGAATTTACTCTTGCAACCTATCATCGGTGTTCATATCCTGCCTCCTGTATTCCTACAGAGTTTGGTCGCTCTAGGTCCATTTTGACATTTCTCTGCAAGCCCCGCCCCCTGGAGGAGTTATGATTTTCCGCTCAAAGCCCACCCGTTGTGGACAGAGTCCGGTTCTGCCACTCACCATAAGTGTTCTCATTCGGCCGCCTGGGCTCATGCCAAATTTGAACTTTCTAGGTCCACAAGGACAGAAGTTATAAATTTCTGCCCAAACCCACCCCTTATGGGCGGAGTCCGGATCTGCCAGCGACCATAAGTGTTCCCATCATGCAACCTGCTCTCCTACCAAATTTGAACGCCCTAGGTCCAAGTTTAAGTTTTTGACACAAACCCGCCCCCT